TTGTTGGTTTTTGCTTGCTTTGCACAGGAAATGCTTCATCGAGGGCTCGGGGTTTGAGAGCTGAGATTCAGTCGAGAGCGCCGCTCTGCAATTTTTCCAGAGAATCCAGTGCGTGCATCCGGTCTGCCCACTGCCCACTAGAGTGTCTCTGGGGTTCTGAAAACCCAAGCCATTTCGTAGGACCCCTATCCCGAACTCTACGAAACCCGCATATGCCTACCAAGGATCCCTAGTAACCCGAGTACACAACAGTAACAAGGAGCCCCATGCGGCGTTACTCTCAAATTCCAGAGACATATTTTTAACAAATAACTCTTACACAAGACTCTCATTCCGCCCAGCCCGACCGAGGGATGGACTCGCGGCCGGTCTGGGACCTGAACTTCCGAAGAAGAGAGAACCGCGCTTGGGTCAGATTGAGGCTTGAACCGGCTTTTTTTTTTCAGAATCAAGGGGCTTGAAGTCAGAAACTTCCGGAAGGTCGTAGGACAAGACGAAGCAGGCACTACAAGTTCATGGCAGGCTTGGAAATCTAATCGACTGGGCATCCTCCCATGGGCGTTACGCTTCTCTTCCCACGGCCAACCCCCATAGAGGCGTCCACGTGCTCAGCAAGCTGTGAGTCGACAGGTTTCAGAAGTCCGGAGAAGCTGCCACACTAGTTGCAACCACTTCGAAGATGGTCTGCTGATCGAGAGGCACTACGGTCACTACAGTTAACCTCCGCCCCTGCTCGGCTGCTTGAGGATTTTCTACAACAATACACAAGCTAACATAGTGACCAATTAAGCTTGATCTCAGGAGAAGCTTGATCTCAGGAGATCCTGTACGGAATCCCTCCAACATGAACTGCCATAAACCATGGAAAACTGCAAGGAGTTTGAGGATTGTACTCAAGTATGCCCCTTGCGGGCTGGCCTGGCCAAAAAACAACGAAGCTCGTGAGAGGGCTTCGGGGATTTAGGGCCGTGTCCAAACCCTGCATCTCTGAGCCAAGGTGCTCTGTCACCATGAACTTTTTGCTCGTGCAGAGGTACCAGTCTTGCGTTGCATCTGGGTCATGCCTTGGCACACGCACGCTGCTTGTGCTTTTCTCTAATATAGTAACAAAAAGGGCTGAATAATTACCAACACTATTGGTTCCTTATTATAGTTATAGTATAATATACTCCAAAACCCTATTCTAATTATTCAGGCCCCCATATTACGTCCTCCGAAAAGAACGAATCTCCAAGGCCCAGGGCATATCACTGATGCGGTCGATGTAGCCAACCATTCGGATGTTGCTGGGTGGTACCTTTCAAGCTCACTGTCTGGCACGGTAGGAAACTTACATGTGTGCATAAGCTGCAGAAACAAGGGACCCCATGATTCAGGCCAAAAGAGTAGATAGCATTCGGCGTCTAAATAAGGCACTCCTCATCTTCTGAGACCTCCCCATGTAAAGTGTAAAGTGCAAGGGGCCGGCGAGGCTTGCTTGATGCACCCAATTGGCGCCCCAAGCGCAGCTGCAAGATGTTACACGCCGCTGCCACTGAAAGAAGGCCTTAAGAAACCAACGAATTACGAGGTACATCGAGGTACTATATCTGCCAAGAGGGGGCACCGACTGCTGGTAGTTCATTTCCTCGAACAGCCGGAAGGAGGCCGGCATGTGATCCGCGCCGAAACTCGGATGGGGCTGAGACAGGGCTTCTGGAGGGCTTAAGAGTGGAGTTCCCGGCCCAACCTGCAACTCGAAAGGGGTCAAACGTGTAAGCGTCCCAAGCCACAAACAAACTCCTTCCGATCGAAAGCAAACGGGCCGTGCCACGACCGGGTCAAACTCCTACCGACGCAGAGAATCCAGGCGCTGTCGCACTGTTCGAAAACTTTTAAGTTCCGAACATGCGTGGGTTCGCCATTCTAGCTCGAGCTCTTGGTGCGCCGATGTGTTTCAAGAAGTTCAAGGCGCTCCAAACAGATCTTCAAACTCCCACTAGCAGGTCGTTACAACATCCCGGTATAGTTCTTATACAATCATGGCCCAAAACCCATGCAAAATGCTACGCCCCTATCCTGGAAGCAGAACCAACCCAGCTCTGGGCCACCCGACTCCTTGAATCGCTCGTTTTTGCGCAGGGACAGCGTGGGAGTGCGCTTGTGCCCTTTGGTCCTGGTCGTCCGAGTTCCTAGAGGAAAGCCTTTCTGGGCAGGGTTTTTTTCGGTGCCGTAGAAGCTTTGAGGAGGCTTCCGCGACTCGTGCCACCCTCGGGGTTCGGGTCCTCCGCTCTCGGTAGGGCCCATGATTCATCTCGAACCTGGGCAGCGAGCTGAGGAGGGCTAGCAGCGCCCTCCGGGCCGTGGAGTTAGATACCGAGACTGCTTCGGTGCAAAATGGATGCAGTGCCGCAGATCCTCACTCAAGGCCGGCTCACCACATGTAGATTTTGCATGGCCGGTCATATGATAAAGTTCGAAGGAAAAGAAGTGCCAGCAACCATCAGGAATCTCTTGCACCGCCATGGCTGCCCAATGGCTGTCTTCCCGGGCTCCTACAAAAGTTTTGAGGATTGGTCTTCGAGCTATTCGAGCTTCCTACAATCCCTCGAGGGCCATGCTGAAGGTCGTACGTACCATCATAGTTCGCCGCAGCCACCTCGGGAGGGATGCTGTCACAGTCTTTCTTGTTCTGCTGCCTGGTGCTTGAAGCCGCGCAAGCCCTGCAAGGAAGGAAATGGGTACCCTAAGCCCTACACACTAAGCCCGGAAGTGGATGCCCTCTGCCGTCATCTTTCAGACTAACCCTGAATCCTCTTGGCACGCTGAGAGTTGTACTCCTAATTGTGATTCTTGCCTACCCCGTCTGGCTACTGCTGCTTAAAAAGTTGCACCTGGCTCGCTCCTGACTTTCACGTTCGAGGCTCTGCTTCCGATTCCTTGTGGCTGCGTGGTTCTGATGTACGTTCCCCTCTTTTCCGACTCTTCTCTGTGAGTCTCAGGTCAGACACCGCCGAAAGCAAGAGCACCTAGGGCACACTGTTGTCCATCCTCTTACCGCCACGGGAGCCGCAGCTGAAACCTGGTGCCCTCAACTTCCAAATCTCGATTCCTCGCCTAAAGCCCAAAGCTGCAGTAAGCGTTACCACCCCGAGTAGACGGGCACCGGACGATCGCCGGCTTCCACATGCCTGACCGACGGGATGAGGGTAAAGCCAAGCAAGACCAGGGATGTGCCTCTCGAAAACCCCAACTCTAAACTCTGGATCTCTCACTCTTCCACGAAACCATCCTAACCCAAACCCCAAGAGCCTGAACCCTGCACGCAAGGGTTGTCTCAAGGAGGTTACGGCTGCAGTCCCCAAGCAAAGACCAGTCTTGAAACCCCGAGACGAGGCGAGGCGCTGGGAATCCAGGTGTCTTTGAAGAAGCCTTGGAGCCAAGGCAAACAAATGCACGTGCTATTTGCGTAGCGTGCTTACCGGCAGAAATTTGTACGCGCATGCGCGTGTGTACATATATATATATATATATATATTATATATATATATATATACATATGTATAAGTATGTACATGGGCTGAGCGAGACAGAAAAAGGAAAAAAAGTGCCGCTGCGCGGGTTCATTTGTGTTTTACGTGTGCGTATGTGTAAAATACATGCGTATATGTATATATATATATATATATATCATTGTTAACATATATATATATATATATATATATGTATGTACAGATTTTGATGCAGGGCCTGCGCACCCCCCAGAAGAATCCACCTGTGCACCAGAGCGAAGGGCTATGTGTGCACGTACTCATGTAATGCATTGTAATGCAACCTTTTGTTCGTTATGTATGTGCGCGTGACGATGCATACATATGCATGTACATGTACGCACGTGTATGTATGTACATAAACATGCAGGTAAAAAGCAAGTATATGTAGGTATATGTCCATCCTACATGTGCTTGTGTGCGCGTGTGTGTGTGTGTGTGTGCGTGTGCGTGTGCGTGTGCGTGTGCGTGTGCGTGTGCGTGCGCGCGTGCGTGCGTGCGTCATACACATCATCGCCGTCGACATCATCACCATATACTGCTCGCACTGCTATTAAAGTATTATCATTGCCATCCTCGTGGGCAGCACTATGACAAACCGAGTATTCCTGTCATCCTCAGCGTCATCATGCCATCATGAGCAGTACCCTTGCGCTCCAGGCGCCCGCACGTCCGGCCAGGTTGTGCGATCTGCTGCCGCAGCTTCTGCTCTTCAGCTGCCTGTTGCGCCCTGGGCAACTACTGAAGATCTTGACTGCACTATTGACGAGTGCCGGGCTGCAGAAGGCTGTTGCGTGGCTTGGTCGGCCCAAGCCGTTGCGGAGATCCCCTGAAAGAGTTGGCTCCTAAGCCGGAGGTAGCGCTTCGAACAGCCGTGAGCTAATCAAGTCTGGAAGTGGTCATAGCGGTGTGGCGTTGTGCCTACAGGCAGGCTCCCGGCCGTTCAGGCATGGTGAGGGAGGGGGTCGGTGTCAGGTCAGGGTAGAGTCTAAGAGTCATGTCCATCCCTGCTTGGTGCTTCTGGCCGGGCCTGTTCAGCTCACGCTGCCTTCTGCCCAGAATGCCCGGAGGATGGATTTATCAAGGGAACACCGGAAGACGATGCTTTCGACTTACGGCTTTCGAGACGATGGCGTTCCGAAGAGCACTATCGCCTGGAACTAACCAAGGCGGTCCTAGCGGAGCGAAAAGGGAACTTAAGTGGCTCGACGAGCTGGAGCCAGCGGCTCGGCGCGAACAGTCGGCACACCCAACCACCGGAGGCCGTACGCACTTGTACTTAGGCGGCGAGGAGTCCGAGTCGGATCTCGAATACTGTAGCCTTGCGCACGAAGAAGGAGCTACAGCTACAGCAAGCCATCGGTGATCATCGGTGCTTCTCTGTGCTAATCGCGTCGAAAGTCGATACTCTGTTGATCACACTGCACTCACATTGCCAAAGAGTGACTCAGTGTGTTCTTGGGACGCAGCAATTGGTGATGCAGACCCTGAAGCTCCAGCTGCCTCACAACTACCGCTGGCATCCAGAACACAAGCAATTTTAAGGCAAATGCAAATGGAGTTGGGTTGACAAGCAGTGCTGGCGCGAGATTCGTCGACAACTGAAAGATGCTGAAAGTGCCTTCGGTCGATCTCCATCACCAAGGCCTCTTCGGTCAGCAAGCCTCGGCTCGGCCAACTTTCTACCAGTGCGAAGCACTGCAGCGAGCGCGATATGATGCCATGGCCAAGGATAGGGCCCGGGCCCGAGTTCAGACGGCTGTGGAAGTCCTCACGAGCGGCAATGTCAAAAAGCTTGGAGACTGTCGCGAGATGTCGCGAGTCTCGGGGTCCGCGAGACTCCGGCTCTGGGCCCTCTAGACTCATCCTGTATGCATTACAGATCTCCATCAAATCGAGTTCCGTCGACAGAGGCTGGGTATAGTATCCTGCTTGGGCTTTACACTCAATTTACACTTTTATGCGGAGCGAATGCGTTTGCATAAGGGTCCTCGAAGGTGAAGAGGCCCGTTGGGCTCGCCACCTGCACTTCCCAGCCACAGCAAGTTCGCAAGCGTTCCAAGAAACTCTGCCCTGCCTCCGAGGGTGACTGCCAAAGCATGGCTTCCTCTGCCCGCTGATCCCTTGGAGACTGCAACTCCTGAATCAGCTCTCGCCAAAGGGGGAAGCAGAAGCATTCTGAACGCGCAGCGTGCTACTTCCGTAGCAGCATTTTGGTATGAGACTTAGCAGCTCATGAGCATCCTGGATGTGGAGAAACTCCTTTCGCGAAAGAACACCGTCTCGGTTTCGATCGAGCTGATCAAAGAGCGCCTGGCTCAAGCCCAATCACAATGAAAACTGGCTACACTTACTGAAAATACTCTTGATAGACACTGATAGCGCCGTAACTTGCATTCTCGAGCTGTCAATTTGTCACACATGGAAACAGCACGGCGAAGATGCTTCAGCACTTTGTGTGATTTGTTTTGGCATGGTGCCCCTAGCCTCGTCTCCCTTGGTTGTTGCATCAGCTTGAACTTTCAGTTGACTTGTCGAAGCTGCATGTTTGTGCATTTAAGTTATGCATCCCTGCACGCGTGGAAGGTGTCTCCGATCAATTTGCCTTCGGCAGAGCAGCGATCTGATCTTCTTCACAGATCACCAAGGTGCGCCTGCTCTGGACGTTTCTGTGTGGGCATCCGTTTGGGTCGGCCGTGGCCGTGGGCTCGACCCGCTCTGCCACTGGACCACTGCTTGGACACTGCGTTGCCCGAGACCAGGACCAACTTGAAGCGATCAATCCGCGGCTAAGTCGGTTAATGTATTGTTTTTTTCTCAGGGTTAGTGTTGGGCCTCAGTGCCTGGCAGCGCACTTTCGTAGAAAGAAGCTCGAGGCCCCGAAAAGCGCCTGTCTTCAGAGATCTTCAGTGTGTCTCAACACAGCTCCGTTCAGGATGCCCGCCAGCACTCCTGCAAACTTCGCAGGCGACTTGTCTTTTGAGTTTCGCAATGTTTCTCAAGCATTGCCCAGGAAGTATTCAGTGGCTTATATGCACAGTTCCTTTAAACCAAAGACATGTGCTCCATGGCTTGTTTGTGCATGTCTTGATACTACATTTGTCAGGGTGCTCTTTTTGTGCGCCTGGGTCTTCTGTGGATCTGAAGATTTTTGATTGAACTTATATCTGCATGCCAGCGTGTTTTATCTTTCCTCGTTTGGCACGCTCTTTAGATGTCCTCTTTTATCTGCATGTCGAACGTATTCTCTGTCGACGGCTGCTTTAGCTTTTTCATTGCCAACATGCACGCTTCTTGGAGGCGCTGGGGGGGCCTTCTCCCCGAGTGGGGCGAGTGGAGAGAATGAGAAAGGGCGGGTATTCTGGTACCGGCACACAAACAACACCAAAACACACTTCATGGCACCAATAAGGCAATGCCCCCTTCCGCAGCCTCAGGCGGCAAGGTGGGCCCGGAGGGCGCGGGTGCGGCCGGAAACTGGCCTCAAGGTTTTGGCGACGAAGGTTCGAAGTTGCGTTCGTTCAGCTAGGACACCTTGGGTCCGTGGAGAAGGTGCAACTTTGCCAGGAACCACTGTATCAAGGTGGGCTTCTGGAGATTGTCCCCGTGGCAAGCGTTCAAAGCCAGCGCAAGTTGCTCAAAGCGCAATCATGTGCAATGCAAGCATGACAGAAGGTCGCTTCTCTTTCTTTATTCTCGGGTTACCCAGAGAAAATGAACCCAGAAACCTTAAACCCCGAAACCCATAAATCCTGAACCTAAACCCCGAGACACTAAACCGGGAAGCCCCGAACCCAAAAACCGCAAACCCAGAAACCCTAAACCCTGAGACCGCAACCTCAAACCCAGAAAACCGAAACCCATCAACCCCGTAAACCCCTAAACCCAACAACAGCTGGCTGCTTTCCCTATCCAGCACGTCGACGGCCCCGGCTTGCTACCCCATCCAAAACGGGGGTTTTGCCCAGTAGCCTTGATCCGAAAGTCCTAACCGAAATTTATCTGTAATATCGCCCCTAACAACGATACTGATTTGCCACGTTGGACAACCACGACTGCCGGTGTCCGGCGCCCTCAACTGCACGTTCAACCCCCCCAACACCGAGCAAGACAAAGCACAGAGGTTGACCTAGGTTTCTAGTGAGTCTGACTAATAAAGAAAAGGGACCCTCCAATACCTTGACTTCTGCAAAGCACGACCCCGGACCGACCCCCCAGCATACGTGAATCCACTCTGGGATAATGTATGGGGTCGCGTTCCCATGCAGATCACACCCCACCCCCCAGAATACATTACGTAGTTCGGACTATATACATCGCACAACAACGCACATCCACGCATAACTGTTTCCGGGGATCTCTGTACCTGTATCTTCAACTTTCCAATCTTAGCCTATGCGGCGACTATGCGGGCCCCATGCGTGCTAGATCCTTCGTTTATTCGCTCGGCATGGATCCCCCGCCCCCCCCCCCCCAACCCCTTTGTGGATATGTGCGCGCCCCGCCATCCTACATTTTTTTTGGGAGGGGNNGGGGGGGGGGGGGGGGGCGGGGGATGCCCTCGTAGCTTTTGCCCTCCTATCCTATGCGTGACAATGTAGACCGCAGGCACGGACTTGGCCCACTGCTGGCAGCAACTCCTCCATGCGAGGGGGAAACCCCGCCATACCCAGCCTTGGCACACGGCTTGGTCCAAACATGACCAAACCATCTCTCTTGCCGCTCTGCCTTCCACATGCGCTGGAGTCATCAGAAAAATCGAAAACTCGAAAACGAAGATGTGCAAGCCGCGTGCTACACCATTCAACTCGGGAAGACTTCAGCAAGCATTCGGTGCAAGTAAAGGTCTCGGCCCGTACAGTGGCCGGCATCATTGAGGCCTCACCGGATTAATCAGCTACCGCTCCCATATCCGAAAACTGGAAAACGAGAAACCCACGTTCACTACAGCAGAACTCAGCACGGCGACGTTGCAACATGTGGCCACTTCGCCGAAAATTGAAGTTGTGGCAGCCCATGGCCGCCTTCGAGTGGGCGAAGGAGGCCTTGCCAATTCGATGTGTTTGGAGCAGAGCGTTACGCGGCTTGCAGATTTCACTTACAGCGTGCCTCCGGAGTGGCTGCAGCTAGAGCAGGTGCCAGCGGAGACTGGCAGGGCTGCTCAATGCTGCACAGCTGTGCAACAGAAAACCGTGCTTGCAGATAGCCCTCATGAACCAAGTCGACAAGATTCGACAAGTTGTTTTCACTACCAGACAGGCAATGCAAAGTGCATTCCGCAAGCCCTACGAGAGCGAAAGCAGAAGGCCTGGTTTGACCTCACCGCTGCCAGGTCCTCTCGTTGACACAGAAGGGGTGGGTGTCACAAGGGCTGTCCGCTGAGAACATGTTCGAGTCAAATCGTGTAGAAGGCAAGCAATGCGGCACCTTTCGTGTCTGGCATATGTGGCAGCCAAGCTGTGGGGCCACTAATTACTGGTCCACAGCATACAGCTGCGTCGTGTTGAAACATTAAGGAGGGACTGTTCAGATCTGAGACTTCACTCGGCATATCCAACTCTACACTCTACACGCGTTGTGCGAGGTACCAGGCAGCAAATCTATGCTGGCTCCTGCACATGGAGAGCCACAGCTAGTCTCGGCATCCCGCTGTTCTATGCGCTTCGTTGGAAGCAGATTGGAGCCCCGGGCAGAGATGGACAGCGGGCTGGGACCGTTGCAGGTTCAGCAGCCCCTCCACCGACCCGATGCTACACCGGAGGAGCACGGTGGGGCCATCTTGTCTGCCAGCGGCTCCTGCCCCTTTCAAATCATGCTTGAGAAGGGCCCCTTCTAAACCAGCTGTTCAGCAGGGCAAGTACCGTCCGCTGACGCTGGGGGAAAAAAGCGAGCCACGCTTGTAGCTGCAAAATTACATAATAAATACTTAATAACCTAGGCTGGGTCTTTGCATTTATCGTGCACCGCGCCCGAAATGGAGGCGACGAGCCGATTCACGCAAACGTCGGCTCCACAGAGCACATCTCGTAGATTCGCTGTAAGAACCCCAGGCCACCTTCCATCCAAGCTATCCTCACATCTGGGCACAGCCACACGATGCCTTTTTGGATGGAATGCCGGAGTTGAGGGTGACGAGCATGTCCTCAACAGATCTCAACAGGGCACGTGCAACACGACGAGTCTGCCCTCTCGTCTGCCTTCTCAAAATTATACCGATATACCCGCAATGTGCTATTACCTGTGCTTCCGTGACTGTGTCTACAAGTACCTGACTTTCGCACAGCTCCTGTGCTGTGGGCCGCAATCGGAAATCCTCCTGCCACGCGGCCACCATCATCGGCCGCATTTGCGCATAGCAGTCGGAGGGCGTTGGGCGGGGCCGCTTCCCTTTCACATAGTCATCGAGGATGACCTGTGAAGCACTCCACTGCGCACAGGATGCCTAGACCTTCACGGGCATAAAGGCCCCTACGAGTTCGTAGGGGCCGATGCGAGAGGCTTTCTTTGCGCCCGACTGCAAAGCTAATGTCTTCAAACGCCACAAAGAGCCGATGCGCAAATTTCATCGGCTCTTTGAGCAGACGAAGCGAATCGCAAGACGACGGGGAGAGCACAAAAATGAGATGCTTCGGCAATGGCAAAGCAAGTGGTTCTCTGGGGGGGGGGGGGCCGCTTGTCGAAGTTGACTTTTGGTTTGTTTTGGGATTTGGCAATGGGCTTCTTCCCTGAAGACATGTTGCGCCTTCCCTCTATCTGGAATGATTTGATCAAGGGACGGAGAAGAAGTGATCAGGTACGCTTCCTACCTTCAAGGTGGTACTGCGATGATGCTGATGCCGAGCTTTGTCGGGAGTTGCGTACTTAGGCTGGCACTTTCGGATCTGCACCGCGCTGGTGGAAAGGTATCCGCCCGGAGCTCATGAAGTACATGACGAGCCCGAAGGCGTAGATGTCGACCTTTTCGTTGTAGTTTTCGTGCCGCGCCATTTCTGGGGCCATATAGCGCCAGGTACCTAAACCTCCTGTCATCTTGAAGTTGTCGGCCTTTGCCCTCGCGGATCGCCTGCTGCTTCCCAAATCCCCAAGTTTCAGCTGCATGCTGCTGGTCAGGAAGAGGTTCAAGGGCTTCAGGTCTCGATGAATCACCGGCACATCACGATTGTGCAAGAAGTTCAGAGCCCTGGCTATAGCCAAACACCAGTCAAGCACATCCCGCAGGCAGGGGCGCCAAAGTGCTCCATCGCGTTTCTTTCGCTGCATGAGGAAAAAGCGTTCAAGGTCTCCGCATGGGAGAAACTCCGTGATGCACATCACGGGGTGCGGCTTCTCTAGGCAAGCCCCTAGGAACATGACCAGATCCGGATGGCGCAGCTGGGACATCGTCTCGATCTCCTGCAGAATCTCCTGTCACTATTGATGAAACATGGCTTCCCGTCGTGCTGAGATAAGGTCGAGATCAACACAGGGACTCACAAGTGGACACAAACAGTCAAGCTCCTGCACCATGCTGTCCGAGGCATCCTCTCTCTCAAGCTGCTCTGCTTCAGATTCCGACTTCCGCAAGTGGGCCGACATTCCTACGCCATGAAGTCCGGCGCACTTGACCACAACTGTCGTCCCCTTCCAGTCAGCTAAGTACAGGGTGCTGTGCAAAGTGCGGCTGAGCTCGTTCCGTATTTCCAGATCCTCACGCCTGATCTTCCAGTCCGACATCCGCGCATGCACTGCAAGGCGCCGCTGCTGGGCACTGTCCGGGCCGAGCTTTCGAAGGCTTACTGCAGTGGGGGGTATGAACTGCAGATCCGGCACGATCTGAGAGTCGGGGGTGCAATCCAGCGTTGACACAGCATCCTCAAATGACCAGTGAAGTGGGGAGTCGCATGGCCCAGGCATGCCCCCTGTCTGCTTCAGTGTGCACTGGCACGACATCGAGTACGATCGAGGCCTTGCGCTATACCCTGAATGCCCTGAGAGGAGCCCGGGAGCCCACGGAGGCAGGCGGTACGTTGCCACGCATCTTAACAGAATGGCAATGCTGCCGAAAACAGACATGTCAACAAACGGCCGAACCGCGCTGACTTGCTGACATCCAGTGGCCCCCGCACCTGTGGTCGCACCATCGAAGCAGCCGCGGCCTCGCACGCTGAACCCGCGGTGACGACCAGAATCACTTCCCTCCAAGTCTTGACTTCCGGCAGCTTGGTCCATCGCCAGTCGTAATTCCAGACGAGGCGCGTGGGACAGCTCCGCGGGGGGCCGGCCCGGTGATTGGTCTGCAGCCTTGCCAGATTCTGCAAAGCCTACGGGCCTACACGTGTCACCGCTCTCTGAATGACCCTCACAACCCTGGCCGCCTGGAAAACCGTCGGTGGAGCCGTATGCCGACGCAACTGTCCATATGCAGCTGTGCAGGGCTTAACTTCTCTAAACTGCAAGAAGAACTACAAGTGGTCATTCTATGTTACTCTGACCAAAGTCGAATCATGTCGAAACACCCGTCCGGCTGCTGCAGCAACTGGGTCCTCCTCCACTGGTGGTTTGGCAGTGAAGGATGCCACGGCAGCCTGGCATTTGGCAGCTGGGCTGTTAAGCTGTGGAGATGTCGGCTGTGCTGAGTGATCTAAGTGGGTGTTTCGACGCCTCACAGGGCGTGTCGTTCATCATACAAGTAGTCTCAGACGCTGTTCAGACCCAGCCAGAGACATTGCCAAGGACAACTTCAGCGTACTGAAGACCTGCAGTCGTTTCGTGACCTAAATAGACTGTACTACTGTACACGATCCTAATCTGCAAGCAAAGGCCGACGTGCATTGCAAAAGTTCGTGTCGTTCCGTTCGGATACGAGGGCCTGCGCGGCACCGGGATTCAGTGCATTGTTGGCCTGTGCAGCCACACAGGCCGCCACGCTTGGAGGCCGTGCCTCCTCCCGAATGCACGGCACTCGCGGACATTGGACACACTGCGGCTCTCGATGGCTCTCGGAGCCTCCAGCAAGGCACCAGGAGCCGGTGCAGCGACGGCAGCGGCGACGGCGGCGGCTTCCTGCAATGCCCCGATCCCAGACTCCAGGCAGAGGCTCGGGACCCTCACATGCTACTCCCGCTCCCACTGCGTTGCGAAGCCTGGGTTTCGGCCAATTTCTTCAAGGTCGCTTCCTGCACCAAGAGATGCGATACATGCAACCGTAGTCGGACAGAGGTTACCTGAACGGTGAGCTTGTCTGATGTAAAAAGATGCTGACCAGGCGGTGAATGCTGGGCCCTTGGCGAGCTGTTTCTCCTTGGCTAGAATGTGCTCCTCCTTGCGCGTCCTCAAGGCTTCAGCAGGGGGATACCACCGCTCTGCTGTATCTGCATTGGCTATCGTGTGCTTGGCACCGGGCTCCATCGACGCCTTCACCACGGACTTGTAGGGCATGGTGGGGCCTCTGCTCCCTTGGCGTTGTGGATCATGCTTGAAGGTGTTTGCAGGACTTGTGTAAGAGGACGGGCATAAGATTCTTGAGCCTTGAACCTGGCCTGTTACAGTACAGCTTTCTTGCCGAGTGCGCTTTTGCAAGCTGCGTGTTCATGAGATTTATTCCATCATATTGGCAATGCCTGAACTACCGTTGAGGATCGCTCGAGATGAAGATTGTGGCCCAGTCGGCAGAGCACCGTCCATCTGCTCCATCAGTGCCTCTCGCTCCTGCACAGGTGCACCGCTGAGCGAGTTTCGCGAGCTTTGCCATTCAGCAAATACTCATCAAGGTGCTTCCTCTTGTTTCTGTTGGAAGTCATGTTGAAAAAGTTCGGCACTAGCGCTGCAGTGTCAGCATGCATGCGGCTTCCCGTCGCGAAAAAAGACCGACAGCTTGATGTTGTACTCAGCAAGAGAATCGTTGTCGAAGGATTGCCATCATCACAGAGTGTCGAAGACAATGTGAGTGATGAAAGAAAAATGCAAGCTTAACACACACTTGGAGACGGAGCTACCTCTCACAGTAGGGATCAAGAACAAGACTGACGGCCTCGAAACGTCTAGTGAGCCTAGTTTTGGGGCTATGACTCCCACAGGCTTGCCATTCCTGTCTTGGAGTTCTATGGGTCTGCCACTCTCGGTTCCCATTAGAGGTCAACATGCGTTCCAAGGACTCCTTTTGGCCTCAAGCCACTTCCCAAGCCTTTGGGGTTTGAGTATATTGCCACTGTCTGGTCTCCCGCCAAACTAAACTCTATCCATCCATCCACACATACATAGACAAAAGCCGAGTGTACACGCGCCCACCTTGATGTCGGGGGGCTGTCCGATATTCTTTCATGCGTTTTCATGCGGAAACCCCTCTTTCGCAACGCTTTCGCGCCCTTTCGCCCGCAGTACAAACCACACCTTCCCCTGTTCGGCTGCCTGGTATGCTTTTCCTACTTATGCACGGATTATTTCCGGAAACGCTTCGGTTTGACAGGATAAACACTCGGTGCGGTGCGTCACGAGTTTTGGGTTCAGGCTCACGGAGCTGCAAGTTTCAGGTGCCTGGTACCAAAGACCGACACTTACGCCAAACCCCTAGAACCGACAATGCTAACGGACTTTTGCCCTAAACACTAAACCCCTAAACCCATTGAGACATCTGTGCATGCTTGCATCCACAAAGCCACACAGCGCCTTCAGCATCATCCAGCCATCCATCCGGCCAGCCAGCCGTGCATGCATACTCAATCATACGTACACCTACACGTACATACATACATACATACATACATACATACAGACATACATACGTACATACATACACACCTGGATACACGCATGCAGACAGACAGGCAGACACACATACAAACGCACATGCATGCATACATACAAGCACACCACAAACAAACATGCCGAATTACATATTACATTGCCTACGTCCATCCATGCATGCATCCTTGCATGCATATGCCAGTCATGAATCGGCGTGGGTTGGCTTCAGCGGGTGTTGAACTGTAGGAGGTTGTTGTTGCATGTAGCTGCGCCTTATGCATTGCGTCATGAAAGTATGTTGGTCTCGATGTTTGGCCTCGGGAAATTGGAATGCGGGAAGAAAGCACATGCTTCTCGCTACGATTCCCCGTGCATCGTGTGAGCACTGTGTGAGCTGTCTGGCTTGGTTTGTATGATCTAGATGGCTAGGTCGTAGAACAATGACCGCACGAACCCATTGCATGGAACAACCGTACAACAAGGAGACGGCCTGTTCGAGCTTCTCGCGTTCCCTCTGCATTGCTTCCTCCATCCTCAGTCCACGTCAGTCGCACACAGCCGAAATGACTACACCACGACTGTGTGACTACATTTGCCAGATGCGTCAGCACTCGCTACTGCATCTATGCAGGAAAGGCGCTTCACACGTTCTTTTTCAATACGCTCTGTTTCCTGCCAAGTTTTTGCCGGGCACTGTCGTCACATCATGCCCGCAGGACAGATCAGCCACAGGTGCTTCTGCTACAAGCGCAATCCACCCCTGGCAGGCACTTCTTGACAGGGCTTTCGGGCTATCCCGTGCCTTCTCTAATTTCTTCTCCAGCTTTGCCTTTTCCTCCTCTTTTTTCTGCTCTGCCTTCTCGCGCTCGACCCTGCGCGGGGCCCAAATCACCCCAATGCAGCATCTACCGTTGGCGAAAGCAATAGTTCCGGTCCTGTACTTTTCCTCCATCTTGCGCTGCTCCTCCTCCTCAGCACCGGATAAAGTCTTCAGTCTGCGATGCATTCAAACACGGCCGCAACGTCAGTCCGCATCCTAGCCGATACCTACAAGCTACACGTGCCGGTTGAAGTTGGTGCGTTGTGCTCGCACTCAGGGAAAACAAACCTGCAAGCCTCTGTCGTTCCATTCACTCTCTGTACTGATACTATGAAGTTAAGACGACGCCAATGATTCTACAGATGATAACAATGAGGATGAGGATGTCGGATGAGGATGAGGTTGAGGATGAGGTTGAGGATGGTGATGCTGATCGTGATGACGATGAGGATGGTGGTGATGGTGATGGTGATGGTGATGGTGATGGTGATGGTGATGGTGATGGTGATGGTGATGGTGATGGTGATGGTGATGGTGATGGTGATGGTGATGGTGTTGATGATGTTGTTGATGATGCTGATGATGACCGTGCCCATGGCAATGACGATGATGCTGATGGTAACGACGACGAAAACGACGATGGTGATGATGGTGATGATGATCATAATGGTGGTGGTGGTGGTGGTGGTGGTGGTGGTGGTGGTGGTGGTGCTGCTGGTGCTGACGATGGTAGCGATGGTGATGATGACCACCGTCTCGGACGTGCCAACAGCCCAGGGATGGTCGCTTAGGGTCGCAACCCCTGCGACTGTAGCCGTTTCTTGCCGTACGAAAGCGTAAGGGTCGCGATCCGGCGTGACTGGCGCTTTGTTATGGATCTTGTACAAAACATAAAACACCCACAATGGGGAAGGGGTGCAGGCAGACAGACCACAGACCCAGGTCAGGAGCGGAGAACCGAACCCACCCTCATGTGAAGGGGCAGGGGATTGAAGCCGAAACGGGGTGCAAGGGATTCCCCAAACCCAATCTGCACACTCGAGTTTGCAAGGCGGGGAGATTGAAACCCAAAGCCACCAGGCCACGACTAACCCAAACCCTAGACGGAGCGGGAGCTGGGGAGCGCATGATCACATGTATAAGTACATGACAGGTTGGGTCGTACTGGGTCGTAGACGGCGAGACAGATAGATAGATCTCTGGCCGTACTAGAGCCTCATACTCGTGACAGCGTAATCTATATGGCAGGCTCAAGCATTTGCGCTAAAATAGCCGCTAAAACGGGTCCGCGCATGCTTCGGTTTTGGGGCTCTTTCGAGGCCTTAGCGCTCCGTCTACGGACCTGAGTCTGTGGGAGCTGGATGCTGAACTCTTTAGAAACAACGAGCTCCTTATGACATGACTTTGACATGATGACGTCTCGTGGCCTACTGGCTTCAAGGCCGGAGATCATCACTTGCCCCGCTTCTTTCTCAAACCCGAATTCCTGCACTTTGTCGACAAACCCGCACACTTGGATTCAACCTATAGTTGAACTTCTTTAAACCCATGGCTAAATTTCAATCATGGGCTGCAAGTGTCTGTCAATGGGGGAGTGAGTGGAACTGTCTGTCTGAGTGTCGTCAGTCAGAGTGGCCTTGAACCGGAGGCTCTCACTGCTGTCTGCATCCAAGCTGCCAGCTTCAGCTGGTTGGCCTTTTGCTGCTCTTCCAGCTTCCTGTGTGCCATGTGTATGTGTGTGTGTGCGCCATGTCTAAGCATTGGAAATCCCTCCATGAGCCCTCAATATCAGCTTGGCGTCCTCAACTCCTCAGCCATCTTCTTGTCCAACTTTGCCCTGGTGCATAGTGCCAGGATGTGCCACGTCATGTGAGTGTCATGTGTATGCTTTCATCCAACATCAGAATTTCTGCCGAGGAGCTTGGACTGCTCCATGTCGTATTTTTCCTTGGCGAGCTTCCTGGCCGTCGCAAACCTGGCGAAGAGCGAGACTTATTATTGGAAATGTGCATTGAAAGGGACACTGATCAACAGAGACCCGGTTCTTCGGCGCTTCGGAGCCGTTTTTCCGGGCCTGAGCCGCTGCACGGAGCCCTTCATGATGGCCTGGATGCGCACCGCCGCCTGCTCCTGCCGCTCTGGCACGTCCATGCACCGACATGCACCGCGGCCGTGCAAAGGTGCACCGGGCCAGCCGGAGATCGGCTGCGCCTGAGCGCGGAACTCCATGGCATCGACCTTGTGCCGGTAGCCCTGCACCTGGCAGCCCACGGCCCGGATTGTGCACAGAAAGAACCCGGGGAAGGTACGTACATATATCTTCCTGTACCCGCAGGTGCGGGAGTACGTACATACCTCCGCACAGGTATGCATGCAGGTAGCCATGTATGTATGTATGTATGCATGTATGTATGTGTTCATATTTTTTATATTTCTATATTATATGTAGGCATGCATGTCTGCTGGGTGCAAGTCGGTAAGTATGTACCCAAGCATGAAGCATGACGATTTCTTTCCCGGGGGGGGTCGCACGTATGTACCCACGTTTGGGGGTGGGCCCGATACATAGGGTAGGCACTTTTCACGTACGTCAGCACGCGCAGGTATGTATGTGTGTAGGTCGGTAGGTCGGAGTCGGTAGGTAAGCAGGTAGGTATGTAGGTCGGTTGGACGAGGTTGGTGGGTGGGTTGGCAAGGTAGGTACAGGCCGGGAGAGGTAGGTCGGTCGGCAGGTCCAGGTATTATGGTCGTCCGCAAGTGCGTGCGTCCCGCTCAAAAGGCTGAACCAATGCCGCTGCAAAGTTCCACCTGCCTGCGGTTGCGTCGGTATGTGCGCAAATCAGATGCTGATCTATAGGGGTGCCGCATAGGTCCAGGCAGGCAGGTAGGTAGGTAGGTCGGTCGGCGGGCGGGCTTTTTACCCTTTGTGGGTTCCCAAACTTTAGGCTGCCGTATGAAGACGTGAATTATTATTCACGGTTCAGTAAAGGGACCATGATTTTGACAGTTGCCCAGACAGGTCGGTGGGTCGGTAGATCGGTCGGGCGGTCAGTCGGTATAGGTAGTCGGTAGGAGGTGGGTCGGTAAGTCGGGGGTACGTACGTGAAAGCAGGAAGGGAAGGCACAGTAGGCAGGCAGGTACGTACAACAGCGGCGGCTATAGGTAGATAGGAAGGATAGGTACATAGGTGGATTCAGGTATGTACGTCTGTACGTACGTATGTTGGGGTTTCTTATGGTGAGGCAGGATGCCACAAGCCAAGCCCGGGGCCTCGCGCTGCAGCTTCGCCTTGGCAGCGGCTTCCTTTGCCTGCATCGTTTTTGTCACCCTCGACTCTTTTCTGAAAACTCCGGCAGCGGTGGACACCTGGGCTCCCAGAGCGGCCTTCTGCTCTTTGAGTTTCTCTTGCCGCTCGCGCTCGATTTTGAGCTTGACCGCCGCACGTTGAGAGTACTCCTGTATTTGGAGCCACAGCAATACGATTAAGTCTCGTCGTTCCATGCAAGGCTGCGCTTCAACCAGTCCTTTTCGTCACGCTCATGCTTGAGGTTCCGCAGCTGAAGCTTTGCACGTCGAACACGGTAGGCACCCTTCACGCGTTTCTGCATTCTTCACGAGGACAGCAGTGACTTACCTAACTAACCGGAGCGCATAATAATCGTGGGCTGTCAACTGATACGGTCCGTCTCCTCCCACCAGCATAAATCCGGTAGGTGCCCTAGGCTTGCCTGAATGCGCCTCGCAGCACGGGTCTTCTGTATGAATTCCACATCGTGTAGGCGCTTCGAGAATTTTGAGACCTCGCACAGCCGACCAAGAAAACCCACTCTCGCCGGATTCGCAAGCCGCGATCATCCCGCGATGCCTCGTGCTGGCGCCTCTCCTTGCGCCGGAGCTCCTCTAAACGCTTCCGTTCCCTGGCATCAGGTCTCTCAAATGCCCTCACTCTCAGAGCACCCGGGGTCAAAGCCTGAACTCCGCAAGGTGCCGTGCCTGGTGAGTCGGCGAAATTTTGCGAAGATCCCCGAGGCCCGAGGCATCCCAAGGCCCCGACACGCTTGAGGTCTCGGACCTTGGCCTTCTCACGCCGCAGAATCCTGGGTGTGAATCCCACACCATGCCAATACGAATTGGACTAGCTAAATCACCGTCGTCCGGTCCGAGCTGGCTGGCTACAGTAGGGTCCGGGCTCCTTCACTTCCGCGTAGCGCTTGCGAGCCATGCGCCCGCGCCACCGTGCCTGCAGCCTTTGATTGCAGGCAGCCTGATGACGAAGTCAGCGAGCGAATCCAGCCCCCTCAGGCGGAAGCTTGATGACATACTGGCCAAGTCGACGGTCTTCCATATCTGCCAGGAGCTTCCGCATTGCCTGCCGACTGAGGCATCCATTCTGGCATATTGAGGAGCCCTGCGGAGCTCTGTTCTGTAACATCCTGTGAAATGAGGTCAGAACATGTCAAAGCCAAGGCAACGAGTCTGTGGTAGCCCGCCGCTCAGAAACTTGAAACCGATCACTGGTCACCAGCAATATACATGCAATAACATTGTCAGTTACCGGCACTCTATGACGTTCTCAAGCTCGCTCCGAGCTCCTGGCACCGACACCCATCTGCTGCGCTCGGAGCTGAGCAAACGTGTCGGGTGATGTCGGGTGTGACGTTGAGTGTCAAATGTCAAGTCATGTCTGCATCAGTCTGCCTGCAAACTGCAACTGCGACGGTTGCAACCAGCGATGTTCTTAGGAACTCTGGGAGCTGAGGAGGGAATTTGTGCAGCATTTGGTTGGTGGAAGGAAACGAACCTCACCAGTGCACAACTGTTACCCGGACTCACACGCAGTAGCGGTGCAAGCCTTCTTCAACATGCTCAAATCGGACTCCAGGAACTATGTCTGCATCCACCGAGCGGCTGCTTCCTGCGCTCGCTTCTCCTCCTCCACACGCCTGTGCAGAAGCAAAGGGACTGGCGTCTCGAAGAAATCCCGCCGTTGATTGCATGCGAAGTCCCGAATCATCCCGAATCCCATGGCCTCATTCGCTCTTCCTCCCTTCGCACCGCTGCTCTCCGCTCGCTGGCCTCTGCCTCATGTGGACGGAACAAGTGCTTGTTCCCATCAGTCTCGAAACACAGGCTCCTGTCCCAAAATGTCGCCTCCTTCTTGGCCTTCTCAGCGGCAGCTTTTCGACGATCGTTGCGAGCACGTACCATGGACTTGCAGGCAGGATGCCACAGAGTGAGGTGCCAGAACCCGTTTGACATCTCAGGTGCTTCCACGAACTTCTGATGTAACTGCAATTTCTCGCCCTGCCTGTATTTTCGTGGCATGGTACGTCTTCCAGCGAAACTCGAAGTCACGGATTGCTTCCTTGCAAGAATGTATGTATGAACATAGAAGCAGAAAAATTAGCAGCAGCAGCAGCAGCAGGAGGAGGAGGAGGCAAACGCAGATGCAGTCTCTAGTCTCTGGAGACGAGAGTAGCAGCACTGCCGTATGCAGGGCACCGCGATGCACCGCACCTGGGCTTTGAGGACCTCCTGCTGGCGCTTTCGCTCCTCGAGGGCGGCATCGCTGCGGCCCTAACGTATTTTAGTATTTACAGTAGCCGGTACACAGTCCCCATCCTCTTTCCGCCCGCCACTCTATTTCGTGAGAGAAGGCTCTGCGTCCCTTGCAAAACCTGAGAAGCCTCTTAGACTTTAACCATGCGTTACAGGATCCGGTAGCCTCCGCCTCACGAAGAGCCTCCTGCCGCCTCCGAGCTGCCTGCAAAGAGGATACGTTCAGGAAGCTGTGATGTTTCGGCTCCGCAGCGCTGCATCTCGAATCTGCCTACCCGCATCTACCGCCCAAATGCAGTCGCGCTCTTCAGCAATGTCTAACCACTTGCAGACCCATAGTCCGTCATAGCCACAGCTTTCAGGAGGGCAGGTAGCGAACGACAGAAAGCATCGCCCTAAGTGACCCTTGATTTCGCTGCACGGGTAGAGGGAGTGAAGCACGGCAAGATGGCGGAGGGTAAGGGGAGGAGGAAGCCAAATGGACAAGAAAAGCAGGAGGGTGGCAAAGGCACTTGGACAGGCTTGATTCGGCTCGCTTAATTAATCCGCAGTCCACAGCAAGAACGGTCAAATCACGTCAAGAGTCAATGTCAAATCACGACGGTCTAGTTCAAGATGCTGCATTGCAAACAGCATCTATCCGCCAGAAAAGCCAAATCTTTCGCAGCAATGTGTGCATGATGCGCATCGCGTTGAAACCAGGTTTTACGTACTTGGCCGTTTCCGGGGCCAAGGTTGGACAAGCTATTCGGGAAAGTGAAATTGAGCAAGCATGCAGCATAACAATGACGATCACCAAGACAAGGACAAGCGATCGTTTGAAGTACTTTCACAATGACCAACGTAGCTTCGCAAAGAGAACTAAAGCTGGAGCGTGGAACAACCCGAAATCGAACCTTAGGCTTTGGAAATGCGTTGCTCAAACTGACACATGGATGCCGCAAGCGCTATGGACAGGACGGGCTTGAAGTCGGTTTCAGGCATCGGGAACCCCGAACATCCTGCCAGAAAATCAAAACACTGAGGCTGTTGCGCAGAAAAAAGTCTCTAAAACTGATGACAAGCCAAACCGGCTCTGACTCTCAATGTCCTGATACCTGGCTGCTCTGCATGATTAAATGCTTCATTCATTCATGAAGTTCTACAGTCTGGAAGCTGCGAGCCGGAAAGCGGATTCCACGCCTCTTCTAGCTTCTTCTTCTCGGCCTCCGCTGCGGCTTTGAGGCGGTCCTGGCGAGGTACCCAGATGCTGCAGCGCCTTTTTCCACTCTGCCGGTCTAGGAAGTATAAAGACGATGAACTTGAAGTGCAGATTCAATGCAGATGCTCGGCTACAGACCTACACTGCACCCGAAATGTGGCCGAAGTTCTGCACGTCAGACATGAAACCCCGGAAACTCTTCCTCCATAAGCTTGCCGGACTTCCGCAACTTGCGACCTTTGCGGCTCGGCTCGACATGCAATGTGCTGGCATGCTAGGAAGTATCGTTGCTAGCAAGTTGCAGACTTGATCAGTGCCATTTGATGATTTTCGTTGACTCCCCGGGACATTACGCGAGCAGGCACGCATTTTCGATTCCATGGTCGGTCGAGGGCCGGTCAGACCCAAGATACTCCGAAGCATTCCCTCAGAACAAACGTAGACAAGGTTCCTGTGGGACTACTCCTACTACTTCAGCCACACATACTCGAGTAGCGAAAACAGATGTCTATCACTTCAGGGTGCAGTTGTTCCAGGTCCACAAGAAGCAGAACCACGAAGAGTTCGAGGCGATCAGGAACTTTGCCCGAAAGAAGGTGCCCTACTGCACGCACAGGACATATGTACACATACTTCAAAGCATCCTTGCGTAAGCTTGGCATCCAAGACATGCGTTACCCAGTCTTGCCAAACTTGTCATCGAGAAGTCTGGAGTTCCCATCCTGCACCGGACCGGCAAGAGTGCTGCGATTGAGTGAGAAAAATTTCCAATCACGATGTATGTCGATGCATTGTAGTCAATCACAGAGGGTGCACTAGCAGACTCACATCGTTTTTTTCACATGCAGCTCCGTGATGCATCAGCGGGCATGCTGAGCACAGCGCCTCGAGCCCGTGCTAGGCACCTGACAAGAACCACCGCCGTCGCATCAAACACCATCCAGTACATGCAGCACTTCCACAGACACACGTGATCAAGCGTGATTTCACAGAGGCAGGCATCTTCCAAGACATTACGGGAAATTTACGAAATAGTCGAACTACGTGCCGTGGACAAGCCCAAGGTCAAAAGGGCAAGTGGTGGCAGGAAATGCGCAGATTGCGGTTCTGGCACCTGTGTGCTGCTCGAGTGTCACTCTCAAGCTATCTGCTTGATACAGATGCTTGTACAGCTCCACGCCAACACCTCGGAAAATGGAGCAAATGCAAAAGGCCTTGGCCAAAAAGACATGCCATCGGTGTTCAAGTGGTTCGATGCTGCCAAAATGCGATAGACGGTCGGACTGAGTTTGACAGACTCCGGGAAAACAACATCCTGGGTAGCGGGTAGAGCAGAAGGTCTGTCGAGACGGCACTGCGGAATCTTACAGCTTCAGCTAGAAGTCTGTATCATTAATCCGCCACACAATGTCAGCATTGCGGGTGCCATCATTCAAATCCTCGGCTGGCAAACATCGCCAACGGCAAAGCACATCGCTGATTAGGCTGCACCTGCCATCGCTGTAACACCGAGCTTCGAGGCAAATGGAGATAACATCTCCCGGATGCAACCGCTGGACATTGTCAACTTGGTGCGAGCAGGCTGCACCTGCACGGGCGAAGTAAGCATATCCTTTCGACGGCCTTTTGGGCTTGAAGCATGGAGTAAGGTACAATCACTGCAAGCATCAAGTGCTAATTTTATGCACCGACTGACCATGACCATGCCTTCTGCGTGCTTCACCAGGACCTTCGTTTGGTGGTGGTGGAAGTTGAGCAAGGACCCGGCCTGACAGAAACAGGGTTACGACTAAGGCTTACGAATGCTGCACTTCCGTCCCCTGCCTGATACGTTTCCAGGAAGTGGTGGTCAGTGTCCCAGAGGGCCCTGGACTTGTTCGTGGAAAGGTCTGTCTGCTCCCGCGAGATCACTCCGGCCACGATGTACCAGTCCTCCAGGAACCGACACTTCACTATCCATCTGTTTAAGACTCAGTCTGGGCACGCTGCGATCCCGTCAGTGCACATGGAACTCACTTAGGGCAAAATCAGCCAAGACCCATAAAACACCCCCTCAGAACACTTCCAGAACCCTGCAAAGTCCGGAGCTGCCCCGATCGTGGGAACGGAGTCCACTCGGATGCGCCAGACGTGTCGGCCTCCCACGAAGATCATCCTTTTCGTGCTTTCTTCAAACTCTGCTTCGCAAACCTCGTCGACCCGACAGGGATGAGAATCCAACCACCCCCCCCCCTTCTGCCTCTCGAGGCCTCGCCGAGGCCCGTGGCTCGGCACCAGAGGCCTGAAACGCTTGAGGCCCGCCAAGAGCTCGAACACGAGTAGTGGTGCGCATGTTTGGAAGTTTCGGAGAACACATACGAGCTTCTGCCGAGGGCCTCCGGCTCCAAAAACATTGTAAAAGGCTGAGCTCCGACCGCTTGAGAGTCAAACAGCTGGAAAAACTGCGGGGTGTCTGCTCAGTTCAAGGTGGCTGCACATCGGCCTCGTCGCGACTGCTCCTTCCGCCAGCGAACAAGATGTGCACTCAACAATTGCACTCTTCGCATGCACGGCATCATGCCCATTGAAGCAAGGCAGAGAACTGCCGGACGTGAATGACCCCAACACTCCACACACCAACAGCCACTAAGACCTTTCCAGAGCTCCTGTGCCACGGTTGGCAGGCTCAGGGAAATACTCCCATCCTGGGCGCATGCAAAGGCTGACTCCAAGTCGTGAGAAAACTTGATCTGCCCTACTGCTTGTCTGGACCCCGAATTGACTCCGTAGGCTTAGTCTAAGACTGCCACGAAGAGGAGTCGCGATTCGGGCTGCTTGTCTGCTATTGGCCACTTGATGTCGACTAATACTGCCAGCACCATCAGCGGAATCAACGACAAGAACATCCAGCTGGCGCCCTTCTGCCTGGCGCCAAGGGGCAGAGTTCAGCTGGCCGTGACCTTCGAAGGATCCCCACTGCACCATCCGGTCCTCCAAAGCAGCGGAGCAGGGCTTACACACTGCCGTGCTGACGGGCTACTGTACTATGCACCTTTCCTCCACCATTCGCTTGGCAACGGCTCTCATTACTAAGACATTGTCGTTGTCCAAAATGTCCTCGGGAAATGATTCTGCAAGTAATAGCGAAGCACTACAGTACATCACATTATGGCAGGACCACATCTGCTGGACAGCATCACCTAGCTTGTGAAGTCAAGAAGCCAGGTTCAAGTTAATGAGACGACTTCTCGGCAGGCATGCAACCTTAGAGGCCACAGACTGATCTAGATCCTGCAACAGGGAATTCGTGACGGTCGCGGATGCTACATCGCTCATTGGCGCTTCATTCTTTTTGCCGCCAGGCCACCAGCTCTTCCAGAACGCGATTCCTTTGCTGGAAGCTAGGGAATCCGATGAAACCCAATTACATCGCTGGGACCTCTCGCAATGCCGAAAGCGTCTATTTCGGCTGCCCAGCTCTCGGTCCCCTGGCCGAGGCTCAAATTCATGATGCAAGCATCTCGCATCCATACTTCGATGGCGCCCGGCGTCCCAGATGCATGCTCCTCAGCACGGATCCCCGATCTCAGCCACACGTCCGAAGTCCAATTTTTGTCGAACCAAGGTTGCAAACTGTCCAAACAGGGTTTTGCCACCAATAGCCTGCTTGGCATCGTAGTGCGAAAGGCACGAAAACCAAAGTGGATGTTTCGGCACCCTGCTTCCTACACAGGACAATAGTGTAGCATCCACAGAACCACAAGCTGCTGTGATGCCGGGAATTGGCCAGTTGAAGTAGGCGGGAGCTTTGGTGTTGGTTTCAGAAACTGGCTCGCTCGAATCTGTTGATTTATGGAGAACGGATAAACACTCCTTCAACAAGTCCACTCAATGTGAGTGTGCTTGAGCAACTCTGGCAAGCAAGCACTCCACCCGCAAGTCCAGGCCCAGTCCCAATCCTAAGCCTACCGGCAGACAGGTAAACATTCGTGCGCTTGTTTCAACCTCGTTACTAGTTACTACTGGTAGTTGCAGGTAGAAGCTCTCGCCGCAAGGCTAAGCGGCACATCGACGGCGGATACACAACCCCCTATCATTGAAGCTTATGAATGAGGTTTGCAGATGAAGATTAGCCCCCTGCCACCACATGCCTTCACGGAAAACAGGCGTCCACACTGCCTGTAGACGACCTGTAACAGCCTCTTTGCTCGGCTGCCTATCAGCGCCTCTACTACTGGTACAGACAGACCATGCAGGTAGCCCCGCACTCTCTCAAGATTGGTCAAAGCTCAACAACCTGCCAGCTGCCCATTGCTAACATGGTTCTCTCCCCACGCCCACACCCACGTATCAAAAAGATTTGGAAAAAAAACGAACGAACACACAAGCTCACGCACCCGCACACACACACACACGCACACAGGAGAGAGAATCTGTACCCTGTTTCGGCCAACACCCGCCAACAGCTTCACTGACAGAAGTGCAGGCGGGGGCACCATAGCATCCAGAACCGTGTTCTGCAGCGTAGGACACTGCAACGTGTCTGCAATCTTCCTCAGGATCTTCGTCCAATATGAAGCATATCGGCATATCACACACCATGGCTGGATTGGCTGGGCTGGCTATAAGAATGTCCAGGAGGATTAGCGAAAGATAGCGAAAGGGTGAAAGAGACCACAGAGCGAGCGCGGCATCGACATGTGACAGCATGCTTGTTTCCAAACATGCCCGAGATTGGACCCTCGCACTCATCTTGTCCGAGCAGCAGCAGTGGCATGACATGCTCGGGGCTCACCGCCCCAAGGTCCTCGCCATAGATGAAGTCGAGAGCGCGCTCCTCGGCCAAAGGGCGGATGCAAGCGGATACCGTTCGAATGCTTCGGAGTCAAAGCCTGTACTACTTGGTCCTACTTCACGCAACTTGGCAGCACAGCTGCAAATCGCAGCTCCACTGCAGCTGGGCGACGACGTGATCTTTGCACGCTTCCGGACACAGCACTGACAGGTCCGTGTCTCTGCCTTCGTACCTCCATTGCACTCGTCGGCACATGGAAGCTTTCAGAAAACGAGACCACGCTCAAAGTCTGGCCCAATAAGCTAGCTTGTGGATTCCTGTGTCCTTGAAGTCTTTGGGCTTGTGTAATGATGAAATGGGGGTGCAAAGCCCCGCAACGATTTCGAAAGTTCCTAAAGACAGGGGTATCCGCCCATATCCATCCCCTTTCCAAACGAGACGCCCTGCACAACTCGCACGCACTGGGTTTCTGGCACACCCTCGCGGGAAGCACCAGCAAAGAAGTGCGCTGGCCTCTTCCTCATGACGTGATTGGTTGCAGGTCTTGGGCCCTGAAGGGTTTATGTAAGGTTACAGCATCGCTCTCGCTCTGTGGACACATTGAGGACAGTTTGTGTTGGACTCTGGCACATGCTTACAGCTCGAGCGACAGCGCTCTTCAACAAATCATTGGTCCAAAACACAATGCAAAATTGAAAAGAATAAACTCAGGGTGCCCTGACCTCACATTTGTCTATTGCTTATTGTCCTGTGTTGATGTCAACAGTGCCACATTGTGCCTTTTCACACTGCTTGTCGACTGCAGAATCTCAGTGCAATTTGGGTGATGAAGTCTTGACTGGCGCTTGGAACCCTTTCCGAGAGCACAATGCGCAGTGGGCGAAAGGCGTTGCGGCGCACAGCTGTGCACAACCGTGCCATGCGCAAGTGTGCATTATTGCACGTTGTAATTTCAAGAAACATGACAGCCGCGAACAGCATCTGCAGACCTGGAGTCAGGGTAGCCTTCATGCTCATGGATTCGGCAGCAGCTCTTGGGAAGCAAGCGCCCTTGAGCCCCCATGTGCAGGGCCCCATTTGCGACACTCCACTTGGTTGGTTCTTTTACTTCCTCTTGTTAGTCAGCCCGGATGACCCCAAAAACATGGCTTCGGGTCTCAATTTCTTGATTTGAAAGGAACCGGACTTGGGATTCTTCAAATCTTCAGACCAAGGCAGTGTACAAAAAAACCCGTGACAAAAACGATGACACCCTCAAACCTGGAAGCACTACTGTCCCAGAAAACGTGAGCCCGGTGAACAGGAGCTACACAGCCTGCTATGAACCGCACCCGTAGCAGAAACAACGCAACAACAGCAACAGCAGCAGGTAGGATTGGTGTGTTCTCTCGTGATTGTCGACTGAACTGCTATCTGCCATATGTCTCTTCGCGATGAAGACCATAAGATCCATGGAGATTTCTTCATCTGTCAGGTCAGGGGAAAGGCTTGCATCAGAGAGCCGTACGTCCCTGTATACGAATGACATGTGGAAGTACAGATGTGGTAATGTTCTCGACGCCTTCGTTTAGCGGTCAGGGTGCAACGACGGCGACGACCACAACCACAACAGCAACAACAACCACCAACACCAGCACCAACACCACCATCACCACCACCATCACCACAACCACCACCAACACCACCACCACCACCACCACCACCACCACCACCACCACGACTACAACCACCACCACCACCACAACCCCAGCCGCAGCCACAACAACAATGATGTCATGTGCAGGCCCTCATGCAGATATGCAGGCCGGTTTCGTGACTTATTCAGAATTCAGCAGGGCCCGGGCCCTGAAACAAATGAGGCTATGGGAGTACATCTCGCAATCTGTGAGCTCCGATTCTGAGGCTGGCACCCACCCACTAACACACAGCAATGGACCCGCCAGACCCGATCGCCCCAGCGGAGCTCCCAGTCCTTTGTTGCACGTGTCTGAACTGCAACCGCTTTAACTTTCTAGCGCCGCCCATGACCAACGTTATCTAGCATGCTGAGGCAACCTGTACGGCCTCAGCCTTGACGCATGACTCGAAAGCGTCTATATCTCAGCGCAAGCCACAGAAAAGCGCGGGTTGCGCCATGTGATGCGCTCACCGTCTTCTGACACCTGACACCAATCATTGGTCTTCTAGACTCCGACGGACTTCCAGATTCACGAGCTGGGCGGCACGTGCTACCATGATCTACCATGCAGAATGCCCCGACTGACATGCCAAAGTGTGACCGGAAGGCATTCACAGAATTCCCGTCCTTCAAGCGCTTGAAGGCACTGCTCATGAACGAAAGATGGTGGAAATCTGATCTCAAGGGGGGGCTCGCCCTAGTAATAGGTGCTTGCACACTGCTGCGAGGTGTTGCTGCGGATACTCTGACTCGAACTTTTACCAGCATGTAGACTTGTCAATCACGGAGGCAACCCGAGCTCTAACGAGCGGATTGGTAGTCTCAGAGTGCAACTGCGTATATGTATTTAGTATGGGGCTGCAGGATAATTCAGCTTTGAAGTGCATTGAGCCAATGCTCGCCGTGCACACAGAAGCTCACTGAAGCACTCGACTGCCAAAGAGGTTCCAGGCTCTCGGACGCTCCAGCTGACCTCTGAGTGCCGATTGGAGCCTGACAGAGCACCACTTATCACCATTTCGGGCCTCCATATACACAACGCTTTGCAGCCAACCTGAGCGCCGCCAGCTCACGCTCTCGCCGCTCCAAGTCCTGCGAGCGTCCGGTGGCGTGAATCACAGATCGCAGCACATCACCGAACTCGGAATCCTTTCAAAACCGAACCCACTTGCACGAGTACTTGGAATCGCTTCCGGGTCCATCAGCGCAACACGTTCACGCATGGCGGCTACCTTTGCAGTTTCGATTGAAGTGTGGAATTGCATCCGGGGCGTGCGCGATCTGTTCCCAGTACTTGTTCAATAGAGCATCATGCAGCCACAGCTTGCACACCGGAATAAAGTCTGTCTCTTCCCGGCCTCTGCATCCCAGGCTTTGCGCCGAGCCTGCTTTGCTTCCAGCACCCAGCGTTCCTGATTTCACGCGTTCGAAGCATACATTAAGTTGCCAGGATGAGACGCCGCCTGACGTTCGGCCCACACACGCTTCCGTTCCTGTCGAAGGCACTCATTCTGCCGGGTTGGCAAACGGGTCGTTCTGACTTGAAAGTGCATCACCGGGGAGGCTTCGAGGAGATCCCTAACCTAAAGACATTGACAGGCCGAAAAGACCTTCGCAAGTCCGACAGTCAGCTCTTGGAAGGCCCTTCTGGTGCCTGCTTCGCAGCTTCGCGCTCACGGAGGTGCTGCGCCCATCGAACCGCAAACTGCTTGCGTGTCCTGGCCTCGGGCTTCATTCCCCACTATCACTTACAGATTCTTACAGCCATGCCGAAGATCCGCGAGCCCTATAGATGCAGCTATCACAAGAGTTGCGTCCGCGACCCATCAGTTTGCCTTGCTACAAGACATACAGAGAAACATAGCGCGTTCCTTCGCTCGGTCATGTTCCAACATGACCACAGCAGACGTAAAACTACAGCCCCTGCGCGTAAAGCACCATAATAGAACATGTGTATATCTCTCTCTCTCGCCCTCTCTGTCTCTTTCTTTCGCCAGGGTTGTGGTGAGAAGGGTTGCTCTTTGCTTTGCTTTGCTTGGGGTCAG